GATTGGGTAGAGAGAAGATCCCAGATGTAATGTAATAAATTCCGATTTTTTTAGAGAGAAGAATCCAGATCTAATGTGAAAAACTCTAAAATTAACAATGTGTTTCTCCTTCTCCTTCTCCCTCTCCCAAACCTGAATGCAGATACACCCAAGTCCCACAAAGTAACTTACATGTCAGCTTAGTGCTGCATGGAAAAACCCTATTATAACAATATAGAAGGTGTTAAATCTAGCCTCATACTGTTATAGCAGACACATGAACTTATATTCACCACTTCATGCCGAACCTAGTCTCGGTATCCGTCAACGCACATTATTTAAGAAATTCCGGAGAAATGGTTGACAGATCCAATCGGGACAGGGAATTGAAAGATGAAACTTCGAACTTTGCAGCATAAGAGAACTTCCCAACCCAGACACTAATCTTACAATTATTTATAACAGAGAAACATTAACCCAAAGAAGGTAGACTAAAACAACCAGCAAACCTCATAGAGAAAGGAATTCCATAAAATCTACAGAAGATGGATATAGATAAACCTATTAGACAAGAATTGGTTTACCATGGGTTACTGAGAGTAGAGATCCGTAATTTAACAGGAAAAAGGGGCAAAACCCGTGAATGAAATCCAAGAGATAAAGAAAACCCAGGTTGGCAAATATAGAATGAAATTGCAACAGTGACAGAAAAGCGAGTAGAATGAAGACGACAGCTGGTATTGTCAAGAATGGAAGAAAACCCGTAAAGGAAAACGAATAGTAAAGCGAGTAACTTACAAGATTGTAGTCTGTTTCTTGGGGAAGTAGAGTGAAGATGAAGAGAGCAAATGGTTGTCTTCTCCTCTCTCTCGGTCGATTTGGTCTCTACATTTTCAGGCTCAGGGAGAGAGAGAGAGAGAGAGGAAGAAGGGCGTGTTTGTTTATGGCTGTGGGTAAAACTAACAGATCATTAGATGCAGGAACGAGCACTGTCGGTAGAGCAAACTCAACGTGGGTTTTTTGAATGGTTGTCTTCTTTGCAGGGAAAGTGAAGGAGGCGGCGTGGGTCCCATTCGTTTTTTTTTTATTTATTTAAATAATGTTAATTAATTTTTTTTAAATAATTAAATATTATCAAGTACCGAATAATCTTCAATAATTATATTTCTTAATTTAAAATATATACAACGATTTTTTAATTTTTTTATATTAAAAAAATAATTAAATCTTCTTCTTATAATTTTATTTATATTTAATTAACTGTAAAATTATTATTTTTTTAATATTTTTAATTAATGACATCATATATGTCTCTTATCATATATATACGACGATTTTTTATTTTTTTTTAATTTTTATCTCTTTTTATA